AAAAAAAGTTTACTGACATACATGAAAACCAGAGTTACAGAGACAGAGAGGTCTTCCATCTGCCATTTCTTATCCTAAGTGGCTGCAATCGTCCAGACATAGGTAGAATGAAGTCAGGAGCGGGGAGTTTTATCTATGTCACCCAGATGGCCGGCAGGTGTCCAATCACTTAGGTCATTTGCTGCTGCTTTCTAAGGACATCAGATGGAAGCTGGATCGATTGGAAGCTGAGCAGGTAGGACTCGGACTCGTGCCCATATGAGACATGGGTGTTGCAGGCAGTAGCTTTACCTGTTACATCACCACGATTGCACCTAACTCTTGCAATTCTTGTCACTGAGCATCACAAATCATTGTCTGTTTTGCTAAATTAATACCTCAACTTTCTTTCTATCCCTCAAACTAGAATCCATCCAATGTCTACAGTATTTTCTGGAGATCAACACTTTTTTTTTTCTCATGCTGTGGGTATGATATAGGCATTTTAAATACCTGTGTTAATGGACAGAATCACTTCCAGCCTAGAATTCAACCTGAAAATGGATTCTCCAAAGCGCAGACATGGCTCACACTATGAAACAGTATTAACTATACCCTAGCTAGCAGACACTCTAGAGTAGCACATATTTTATTTCTTTATGAAAGAAGACCTTAGAGAAAACAGCATTTCAAAACAAAAACATACAACAACAAAATGTAGGCCCTGGACAGGAATTACAGGCAATCTCCTAAGTGCTGAAGTTCAGCCTTTTCAGTTTCATTCTTCTCAGATACATCATCAATTGCAATGCTAAAAGAAAAAAATATTTTCTGACTTTGTTTCTGTATTCAGAGATCTTTATTTTTATCTTGCTCCCAATGTTCCCAAACTTCATCAACAAAGTATTTTGTAGCTTTGATTCCCTCTGTTTAATCAAAGAACTGCCTCAAGGTACACCATGTGTTTTTTCTTTGGTTGCTGGTCTTGTAGAAAATGAAATCTCTTTTAGAAGCCTTGGGTTTAAATTTCCACTAACCTTTCTCGGAGGAGGTAGCTCCTATACCTACTCCTAACAAGGCACAATTTGGGATCCCCTCCACCATGCAGACTGCATATTGGGTCAAGTTGAGAATATATCTTATTTATCTCATTTTGTAATCACAAAACACTTAGAAAATAAACTTCATGAAGACAAGGTTAATGTAGCTTTTAATGATTCCTCTGTCAACATTCATGAAACTAATTTCTAGTTTTGTTTAATGATTTAATGTGTATTCAAAAGGATTGGGGAAGCAATGCACCTAACTGAATTTATGTGTTTCATCAACATGTTTAGCCATGTGTCTTTTTGTATTTGTGCAAGTATATGTATAAGTAATATATTCATTTATTGTCTAATGTTTCAGTTACTGACAAACAAAATAAGAAGTTTTAAATAAGTCAATGAAAATGGCATTACAATGAGAATTATTTTGGTACAAATTTAAATCTCATGCGATTTGCAAAATGTACATTTTCCACAAACTTCCAAAAATAAATTTTCTTGTATTTATTATTTGAGAGGTAGAGATCAAAAGAGAGAGAAACCCCAGCTGTTGATTCATCTTCTGAATGTCCAGAATGACCCAGCCCAGCCTGGGTTGAAGCAAGCAGCCGGGAATATAATCTGATTCCTTCATATGACTGTCAGGAATCCAAGTACTTGAGTCAACGACTTTCGTTAGCAGGAAGCTGAAGTTAGGAGTATAGGCAGGTATTGAACTCATTAATTCAATATGGGAAATTAGTGTCTTAAACACTAGGCCAAACGTCAACTTTCTCCATGAAATTTCTGAAGATTTCTCATGAATGACTAGATTTGCCAAATTCTTGTTGCCTAGTCAGAACCATCATAACATTGTAACACAATACATTATTCATATTTGTGTGATGTTGTCAGTGTAAGCAAACCTATTGACTATCAGTTGTATAAAAATATAACACATAAGCCATATATGAGAAGTAATTCTTAATGATAACAGATGACTAAGTTACTGATTTGTGTCTTTGCCATTGTTATTTTAGAGTCTTGCATTTGTAACTTTTTAATGTTATTGGTAGACATGTTACACAGGCAGCAGTTTCATGCACTTATTTTGATTGTATCAGTATTATAATCTAACAAATTATAAAAGTAATAAAATTATGCATGTTCAATGTTAATTTATATTTTTTACTTTTATTTATTTGAAGGGCAGAGTGATACATACACACATTCATGCACACACATGACATACAGATCTTCCACCCACTGGTTCACTCTTCAAATGTCTACTACATCCAAAGATAGACCAGGAAGGAAAGAAGATCCAGGAACTCCATCCAGCTATCTCTCACAGGTTGCAGGAATGCAGAGATTTCAGTCATCATCTGCTACCTCCCCAGGAGAACATTAACAGGAAGCTGGACAGGAAGTAAAGGTAAAAGTCCACTCCAAGAAGCCTAGTATGGGATTGGGGATAGCCCATGGAGCGGTATAACCCAACACAGCACAGTGGCCACTCCAGTAACTGTTTAAAAGCTGTATTTAAGCAGTGTGCTCTGCTTATAAAGTATCATTAACTCTACACCACCTTACATGAAGAAGAAATGATCATTTATCCCATTTAGAAATAAGGGTAAAGCTAATTGGCATAAATATAAAAAATATGAAATAAGCAAATGTTTTTATTAGTTGTATTTTACAATAATTCACAGCAATTTAATTTTCACTCTCCCTATATATTGCCTCATAGGACAACTAATGTTTCCAAATCATGAAACTACAAAGGATCCATAAATCTTTGCCTATTTTATATGCATGCAATGAGTTGTATTTTAATATATTACCTTATGGATTACCAGAGCTTTTAAAATGGAATTAAATAAAAGAAGTTCAAAGCATTAATAATATAATCTTAAGCAGTTGTAGCCTAAAGTCTTTGGGATGACAATAACATTTATATGAGCTTACTTTGTCATTATGTACATTTTCTACACTCAACTCTTTAACTTTTATGTGTGTTTCAAACTTGACATATTTAGTGAAACTTTCATTGATATCCTCAATTTATAATCCTTGTTTCTCTTAATTCACTTGGGCATCTATAAAAATACTATGAACAGAGGAGCTTATGAATAACCAATATTGGTGAATTATGATATTGGGTACTGGAGGATCAGAAATTCAAGAATAGGCAAAGGCAGATTTGGCATCCAACAATTGCCTTATTTTTGGTTCAGTGTGGAATATTCTTATGTTTATTCACTTACTTGAGAAACAGAGACTTCCTGTTACTTCCTTGCCCTGAATGCCCACAGTGGCCAGGGTTTCAGGCTTGATCAAAATCAGGAGCGAAGGCCTCAGTGAAGATAAGATCTCTTTGTGGTAATATGTACCCAGGAAGGGTAGCCATCACCTATTGTTTCAGATTTGCTATATAGCTACTCAAGTCTTAAATTTGCTATCTCCTTGGGTGCACATCAGTAAGAAGCTTGGTTTGAAAGTGAATAGGGCTTGAACTCAGAGACATTGTTGTGGAATGTAAACATCCCAATGAGTGAGTTGGCCATTCTATCAAATACCTACTTCCAAAAATGATTTATTTTTCCGTGCTCCCACTTTGTAGAGAGGAAGGACAAACTCCCAAAAGCCTCAGCTGTAAAAGTGTTTGCCCCGTTAATGAGCACTCAGTGCTCACAACCTAAGTATTTCCTCCGAAGAATCCACATCCTAACATTATCACCTTGAGGACTCAGTATTCAAATGAGAATCTTTGGAGAATACAGACATAGCATTGATTTTCACTTTTAAATGCTCACTGTTATTTTTCCTGCTAATCACCATTTCCTTGTGTGTTGATAAGCTACCTTGATTTTTCTGCACTGTGCAAGTATTGCTGGGACTCTGGAGTTCTACCCTGCCTTGTTCAAAAGGTGTGTATGCCTTCAATCTAGAATGGCCAAGACTACCTTCCAAGATTTTACTGATGCAATGGATCTAAGATAGAATGCTTAAAGGTGATCCACTCAATGAAGTTAAGTGGTAAGAAGCATGGTCCTTTAATTTTCCTGCCTACACTATCAGAGCTGGCACAGCTCCCTGCTCTTTACTCCTGTTCTTTGAATACAAATATGTGATCTTAATACATATGTATTAGTTCAGTAAGTTATACAAGAAATGTGTGATGTCTTGTAAGTACTTAACATTTCATTCTTTCAGAGTTGATTAGATTATTCCTAAAATGGCAATGGTTAGGAAAGTATAAAATGATTTCAGCTATTTCATAGAATAATTGAAATTATTCCAGATTAATTTTGACATAATTATGTTGAAATTTGATTGGATTCATAAGACTATTCTTCAAACTTATGAGGGAAAAATATTTCCTCTAATTTTAACATATGATTGATTTTTTTTAGTTCTAAATTATTAGATTTAATTGATAAAAGTGAAATTTTTTTTATTACGTTGCATTATGTGACACAGTTTCATAGGTTCTGGGATTCCCTCAAGCCCTCCCCTCATGGTGGATTCTTCCACCTTGTTGTAGTATTAAAGAGCAAATTAAGTCCAGATTATTTCTTTGCAAACATATACCAAGCATAGAGTCCAGCATCTTATTGTCCAGATAAATTCAATGGTTTCTTGGGGAGACCATCTCTGGTCTAAAGGTAGAGCTGGCAGAATATCATACCGATCAATTGAAAGCCCCAGCACAACATCAACAGCAATTTACAACATTATGGAATTAATTGACATGGTATTGAATAATCAATATGTTAAAACCATGTAACTTCTTAACCACCTCCAGTGACTACTTCATTCACATTTCATTTTTTGTTTATACATAGAACCAGCTGCTATACACCTTAAAGTGGCTATAGGGTACTATTCAGATGTCTCGTGTCTATTTTCATTTTAGTATTTAGCAGTTTATAGTGTTGAAGCATAATTTTTGCTGAACTTGGCAGATTTTAGGATAGTCTAAACTGGCTTATAAAAAATATGAAACACTTCACGAATTTGCTTGTCATCCTTGCACAGGGGCCATGCTAATCTTCTGTGTATCATTCCAATTTTAGTATATGTGCTCTCAAATCAAGCACAATAAAAGTGAATTTTTAAAAATGATTTATTTTTATTGGAAAGGCGGATATACAGAGAGGAGAGACAGAGAGGAAGATCTTCCATCCGATGATTCACTCCCCAAGTGAGCACAACAGCCGTGCAGGGTCCCAAAGCTTTAGGCCGTCCTTGACTGCTTTCCCAGGCCACAGGCAGGGAGCTGGAAGCAGGCTGCCGGGAATAGAACCGGCACCCATATGGGATCCCAGGCGTGCAAGGCGAGGACCTTAGCCACTTGCGCCACCGCGCCGGGCCGGGCCCAATAAAAGTGATTTTTTTGAAGGGTTTAAAATGAGTGGCAACTAATACACTGAGTAAAAAATGTAATGTGAAATGGATGTTTTGAGATTTGATTATTGTTTATGGTCCTTGTCTATATTCTTGAGGATCACTTTTTGTCCAACTCTTTATCTGATGGAGAGTTAAGTCTGTGATTATAAAATAAACTGACAGTATGTCATTGTAAAACATAAATAAGAGAAATAAAAGAGGATGTATGCTGGGAATGGCGATGGGAAGGAAGGGAAGGTGAGAAGTATCACTATGCTCCTAAATCTGTACACATGAAACACATGGACTTTTGTCATCTTATGCAAATAAAAAAATTAATAAAAATATTTTAATTTATTATTAATTTTATAAACATGATTAAATATGTATTATGTGTTTGGCACAATAAGACCTAACAATAAAAATAATTGAGTTACTTTTTTTGGATTCGCTCTTCACTATTTTTTGAAGGTGTACTTTGAGACACTGGAACTACAGTAGATAAAAATGAAAACAAATGGCTCTTATTGCATGCTTGTATTCTTATTAAGAGACAATATATACTTAGTAAAGGAATTGCATAATATCACAGAGCTTGATCAAATAAGATATGCTTGGATATTCTGGGAGGTCTTCCACTTGGAACAGTGCAGCTAGTTGTAGCAGAACATGTTAAGTGAAAATAGAGCACAGTTTTTGAGTGGATGAGATGATGAGTTAGGGGTTTGCTGGTAGAAGCAGCAAACATTGCCAATAGCCTAATGCAAGAGCAGGTCTGAGATGGCTAAGGAAGAGTTAGAAGGTCAGTATGATTCTGCTAGAGTCAGTAAAAACAATGGCCTGCAATCTGTGTGCCTATTGAGTTCACAGTCCTAGGGTGGGGATGAGTCCTGAAGCATTGTAAAGGGTATTCTGTTCTCAAAGTAATACTAGGTATGACTAGAGTTTCTGTAAAACTCTGAAGGTTTCCCAAGAGTATTGGCAATGAGATCAAGGAGATCTGATGAAGTGGAGGAGGTAAATAAGAGATGGAGAGACCGAAATGAATGCTGTGTGTGGAAGACCCGGAGAGATGGCACAGTAGCACGGAATCAGGAAATCCACGTGGATGAGGAAACACTGAATAGAATAGGAGGCAAAATTATGATAGATTTTGTGTCCAAAATAAACAGTTTTGATTTCAACCTCAGAGCAGCAAGTTAACATTGGACATCTTTGATGAAGAAAATGATGAAGATCATTCAGATAGTATTGATTGTAGATGGACCAAAAATTAAACCACCAGCTGCAATCCTACAGGGAGACATGAACTGGGAAAAAAGGAGTGGGGATCAGCACAGCAGCTATCAAAGTACAATATGGACTCACTCAAAGGTGTTGCATAGACTATGTGGGGAATCAAAAATAGGTTTGCTGCCCATTTTATCAGCAAGATTTTCTAATCAACATTTTGAGGAGTAGGAAGAACATTCACAGGCAATAGAAGAACATGTTTGCAAAAAGGATAATAATGTCATGTTGAGGCAGGTAGAAGTTGAAGTTCTTAAAGGGAATTCAAACTGGAATCCTCTATTGTGGTCAATAGCCACAAGGATCAATTATTTTTAAATGCTAATTTATCCTCATTTATTTGGCTTAATATATTCTTGTCACATTGAAATCAAAATCCTCCTGTGTCTCAACCTGTTCTCACCATTACACACTCAGTTTTAGGCCTACCAGCTATCAAGTTCCCAACTAAATGAGAAATGAACTGACAGAGTTGATGTCCATTGAGTGTTATTATAGCAATCACTCACAAGAAGCAGAACTCTCACTTGACATAGTGAGACTGCATTATTTCATGAACAATACATGAATCTTCCATTACAGTATGCATATAATTTGCATACACAGACTGCAATATATACATGAGAAATGTTTTAATCATTGAGAGAAAATGAAGAAAATTGAAAATATATATATTAATTCGAAAAAATCTCAGGAAAATTAAGTACCAACAGTTAAGTCACATTTGTTGAATCCTATATTGATTAGCCTTTTATGCGAATTAAATCATTTAGATCATTTAGCTTACACTATTTCACTGTAGGAACCAATTATTATCACTTCATTTCACTGGCACTGCAATTGAGGTGCAATATGTAACACACAATCCAGCATCACATCCAATGATTGTCTCCCATACTGTTTGTGTGGTGTATGTGTGTCTTAAACAGTGGTAGAAAGCCATGCTTTTACTTTCATATGATGAATGTTACAAGGGAACATAAGAATAATTTCACAGAAGCGGTGATGGTAATATTGACTATAACATAGTGAAAAGTTAAGGAGAGGTGTATAGTGAAAGAAGCCACTGCCTGCAGTGTCAGCATCCCCTATGGGTGTCAGAATACTGGCCACTCTACTTCAGATCACCTGCCACCCAAGTGAGAGCCCAGACAGAAGTTCCTGGCTTCGGTCTGACCCAGTTCTGGCTGTTTTGGCTATTTGGGGAGTGAACCAGCTAATGAAAGATCTATTTGTCTCTCCATCTCTCTCTCTAACTTGGCGATTCAAACCAGTAAACAAATTTTTAAAACATGACAGAAGCAAATAGCATGTTGGAGCAGCAAAATCTGGTCAATCAAGCTTTAAAGACATATACTTTAACAAAGAAAGATTTTTGGATTTTGGCTAGTGTTTGATAGGTTGTCTTTCCTCTGGGTATTTAAAAGGGAAACATGGTTAGCTAAAATCCCATCACCCTGAAAAAATTATGATGCCAGGAAAAAACGGGTAAGATCATGGGGCAAGTTGCAAAATAAGTGATGGGAAAAATGTATATAAAGCACAGGTAATACTTTGCCATGTAAAAACAAACAACTCAGGGAATAGATAAATATCTCAATTTGCTGAGATGCTCACAAAACGCCAAAGTTCGTACTTGTGCTCTGTTTCCCATTTCTTATCAAGAAATCTAGAGCCTAAGGAAAAGCTGGCTCAACTCCTGAGCTGACCCTGGAATCCAGGTGGTTCAGGGGACACTGAACTGACTTTCAATTCGACCACAGAACGGGTATAACAACTGGTTATTTGCTTTTCAGTTTTAAAAGGGAAATTAAAACATAAGGAATGATTCAGAACTCAGTGGAGTTTCTTTGAGTTTTTCAGCAAGGTAGAGAATTTCTAAATTCACACACACACATGCTCGCATAGATATTATGAGCTCTAACAGTTTGGCAAAATGAGAGAACTTACAATTCCACTGATTTAAATAATTTGAACTTACAAGATGTACCTTAAATACATTATATTAAAAGACAAATAACACATTTAGTATAACATAAATATATCATTATTTTCCCTCAGTGACATAGTTACCAGTGGTTATCTTCACGGCCTTTTATCATGAATGTTTTGCTTCATGAAGGAATAAAATTATCAGCTATGTGTAAGTGCATATCCACATTTTGGAAGACCAGCCTTTTATCTAGATTATTCAAAAATTTTGAGAATTTTAATCAAACTTTTAAGTGGATATCTTGACTACAGATTATGTATTTGCTTTTATTGAATTTACCTTCCATATTTATCCATCAATGGCTAGTGACACAGTGTGATGATCTTTTAGACACAGCCATGGCTTTCTAGAGATTCCAGGAAGAACATTTTTCATTGGAGCAGAAAGAATAGTTGATACAGAAAATTCCGTGTTACTAGGCTAACAGCAATCCCAATTCACCTGTGTGTTACATTTGGGTGTCAGATGGTGCACCACGATGTCTGAGGTCATGGGAATTTGCTTGTTAGTCTGCTCATAAATTTCAGAGCTTCAGATGTTTTGAGATGAGGTCATAGCCATTTCCTTGATCTCTCAGTGCTTTATTAAATAATTTACTAGAGTAACCTTGCAGTAAGAATTCCCAGGAGGAAAACTCCTCATAAAACTCCCTGTATTAAGCACTCACTTGCTACTAAAATATCTTATCCGGAAAAAAATGAATCATCGATGTATAGGACAGTATTGTTGATATGTTGTACTCTACCTACATTTTTGATAATCATTTCACTAATAATAGACAGCTCAAAAGAGAGATACCTGAAGTAGGGAATGACTTGTGATTGCACTCTCATCTTTGAAATAATTCACCAAAATATTATTTTAATTAACTCTTTGAGATAAAGTTCTAGTGTAACCTTCTCACATGTTATGAATTTCACCTTGCAAGTTAGCTATAAAACTAATAAAACTTTTTTCACCTGCAATAAAATAGATAGAATTAGAAATATAATGGTGAGTAAAATAAGCCAATAGTGAAAGACAAATACGACACTTCATATATAGGAGCTAATATGAAGACAAAATCAGAAATGCAGCAAAACAGAAAAAAAAAAGCTTAACCTGAAATTAGAATATTGAGACAAAAGAGGAGTTTAGAATTTTTAAATTTAACTAGCTTGTTAATGATGTGTTTTGAACTTTTCATATAAATAGCATATGCTATTTGTATATGAGACTTCAGTTAATATAATCAATGCTCATCATGTGTCTCTGTAAACAACAAATATATTTAAAATATATGCATATGGAAACATATGCATATCTTATGATTTTGATATTTTAAATGTTTGAGTGAATATAGACTGTATGAAAGTAGATAGGCATATTGACTTTTCATTATTTCAATCAGAATTCATTTTCTTTTATATTACTCCAAAGTAAAGCTCC